GGCGGTGAAAGGGCAAGTATTGCATCTCCTACGCTGGAATGGGAAGGTGCCTGAGGGAGGAGAGGAACTGGTGGTGGTGATGGAGGAATGAACCAGGGAGTCACAAGAGGGAATGGTTCCTACAGAATGCTGAGAGGGGATGGGAAGGAAAGGTGTGCTTAGTGCTTGGATCATGCTGGAGGTGCCAAAAATGGTGGAGAATTATTTTTTGGATGTTGAGGCTGGTGGGATGGAAGGTGAGGACTAGGGGGACCCTATCATGGTTCTGGGAAGAGGGGTAAGGGGTAAGGGCAGAGTTGCGGGAAATAGGGCGGAAACAGTCAAGGGCCCTGTCTACCACAGTGGATGGGAATCCTCGGTTGAAGAAAAAGGAACACATTTCAGCTGCTCTGGTGTGAAAGGTGGCATCGTCAGAGCAGATGTGGCGGAGGCAGAGGAACTGGGAAAAGGGAATGGAGTCTTTACAGGAGGTGGGTTAGGAGGAAATGTAGGTCCAGGTAACTGTGGGAGTTGTAGGGCTTGTAAAAGATATCTGTTGATAATCTATGCCCTGAGACGGCCACTTCAATTCTCCCTCCCACTCAACTCTGACCTCTCCATCCACAGTCTCCTACGCTGTTCCAATGAGCCACAGTACAAGCTCGAGGAACAGCATCTCATTTATCTGCTTTCACAGCGACATTATACTGAGCACATGTGGTGTGATGTTAAGCATTATTGAGTTGTGGCATGGAATGTTGAAAATCCAGCATGCACGAGGAGCAACATGGATTTGTGTCTGTGCATCACAGTGTTGATTTATCCCAATTTGCCTACAGATGCCCTTCACAGAAAACTCTAGTAATAGGTGCTATATGAAATGAGAGGATTATTATTTCATGATTATTATTATATTTCTGTGCTACTGTGGGGAGACACAAAGCAGAAGCCAGGCATTTACCCATTTTATGGGAAAGCGATCAGTGAGGGTGCTTAACACAAACAATGGCCATGTCAATAGATGAAGGCCTAGGAGTAATATGCTCGCTTTTCCTTGATTTGAGAGAAGGCAAGGCAGAGAATAGAATTTGAAAGACTGGAGAGTTGGATATCCTTAAGAAAAATTTTAATTTTGTTGCGCATTAATGCTACATTAATCACTCAGCACCACAGCACCTAACTCCCAATCTGTGCAAGTTGAAAAATGTTTCTGGAACAATAAATGTTTATAAAACTATGCAATAATGTTAACTATACATTAGGATACTAAAGCACATTTTTTTCAAAACAGACCAAAGCTGTCTTTTTGAAAAAAAAGGTTCTGCACATCACTTAATGGAATGCTTTATTCCTATGGAAACTTTTGACTGGGGCGGATGATGAAAACCAATAAGTGCTCTTAGGTACCACTGTCCGATTCTCATTTTAGTACTTTTAATGGTATGATTATGGTTGGAAGATCTATCTCTAGTAAACAGCTTTGTAACGGTATAGTTTGAAATGTCAAAGAACCTTGGCTGTTTTCATACTTTAGAGTTGAAAACAAACCGGAACGCTTGTACTGGCCAATATTTTAGTATTTTAATCTGTATGTGAATTTGAGAATCTTGCATGCTCCTATTACACTTGGAAAGGTGTAAGCAAATAAAAATCATCTTGCTACTAAATGCAGTGACTTTGATGTTGGGTGCTTATGGTAAAGGTTTATATTAGACTATTGGCTGCTCAATAAGCAAAGTTCAAAGCATTGTTCATAGTGCAAGTCTAGCCTTTACATGTACAGCAGCCAATCCTCGGGGCATGTGCAGAATGTATAACAACATTTTTTTGTTGCCTTATTCCAGTTCCCTCTTTCTCGTGCTTGTTTTTTTTGAGGAACAGTTCACAGTTCACTCCCATTCACTTAAAAACTGCCACCATCACTCCCACCTTGAAAAAACCCTCCCTTGATGCGTCGCAGCTATCAAGCTACCGGCCCATCTCCAACCTCCCTTCCTGTCCAAGGTCCTGGAATGAGTTGTCGCCTCCCTGCTGCGCTCTTTCCTCTCCACCCATTCATTATTCGAACCCCTTCTCCACCCATTCATTATTCGAACCCCTTCTGTGCTGCCCATAGCACAGAAACTGCCTGGTCAAGGTCACCAATGACATCCTGACCATCTGTGACCAGGGCTCCCTCTGCCTCCTCGTCCTCCTCGACCTATCGGCAGCATTCGATACGGTCGACCACGCTATCCTACTCCACCGCTTGTCCTCCCACCTCAACCTTCAAGGCCCTGTCCTTGAGTGGTTTAGGTCGTACCTCTCCCACCGTCTTCACTTTGTTTCCACGAATGGCTTCTCCTCCACCCCCTGCACTGTCTCGTGCGGTGTCCCTCAGGGCTCTGTCCTCGGTCCCCTCCTCTTCACCCTCTATATGCTCCCCCTTGGTGACATCATCCGCAGACATGGAGTTAACTTCCACATGTATGCGGATGACACCCAACTCTACCTTTCCTCCTCTACCCTCAACTCCACGACCACCGATGTCCTGACAGCTGCCTGTCCGACATCGAGTCCTGGATGAGAGACAACGTTCTTCAGCTCAACGTGCGAAAAACTGAGGCCCTCCTGATTGGCTCACGTCAGCGCCTCCGCACCTCAGGCACTGAGAGCATCAGCATCCAAGGCTGCACTCTCCACCTCTCAAACCCAGTCAGGAACCTCGGTGTTCTGTTCGACCCTGAGCTGTCGTTTCTCCCTCATATCCGCGCCACAACTGGCACCGCCTTCCATCACCTCCGGAATATCGCCAGACTACGGCACTACCTCACCCCTCACGCGGCTGAAACTCTGGTCCACGCCTTTATCACCTCAAGGCTGGACTATGGGAACTCTCTCCTCGCCGGCCATCCCGGCACCTCCCTCCACAAGCTGCAGGTCATTCAGAACTCTGCACTCGTGCAATGTCCCGCACCAGGCTTCGGGACCACATTTCTAGCATGTGAGCCACATGTCGATTGGCTGCATACGTATGCAGTGAATGGAGTCAACACCTAGATGAACTAGAGTTGTAAAAAAAAGTATTATAACCGTGCTGCCCTGTAATTGTTCTGTTGAATCTGTACATATTATCCTGCAAACAATTCATTTTAGAGAGAGAAATTGATGAAATAACCACCAAATAATTAATGTCAATCGATCTTTAGGTGAGAATAAATCTGATATATTGATATATAAAAGATTTGATTAGTAATTTTATAGTTGTATAGATACAGGGTAAAATCTAAAAGTTTTCAAAATAGATGTATGAAGCTTTTTGATACTGTATGCCAGTTATCAGAGCAGATATCTGTAGATTTTTTTTAAAAATCATTCATTCCTCATTATTTTAATATGTGTTTAGTTATATAGTTTCAAAACTACTGTTTGGTTGTTTTTAAATGGAATAAATATTAAAATGCGTTAACCTCATCTAAAACCCCAAACCAAACAGCTGTGCAATAGTTCACAATAAAGCACATTTCCGCACAGTTCAGTATCTTTAGATTTGTATCTTATTTATTACAGTTTGATTTATCATTAAATTGCATAAGTTAGCAAAATTATCCTCTTTATTTTCATTCCATTAAGCTCATCACTCAATAAAACATTGTCGTTTTATTATTTCCAAAAGGAAACACAAAATATTCTTGTGAATTGGGATGCCCTTTAATAAGGAAACTTTGATACAAAAGCTGTGTTAGATTATAATATTAAGCTATTTGGCCAAACACGATTATTATGATTTTGCTTATTGCAAATAGTTCTAATAAAAGAAGTTGATGTATGTTGGCAATGTCAGTAACTAAAGCAATTTGTCACGGCACCCTCAGGCATGCCCAGACTAACTGCAGTTTGTGCAGTCATCAGCAGTTTACTACAGATAATATAATATTTCTACATTGCACTCTATTTGCTTTCTTTCACGGTCGACATTTAAGAAGTTTTCTTATTTATGGAAATTTTAATATCCTACAGCTTTTTCAAGTATACAAATTGAACAATTAGACAAAGGAAGTATTACAGAACTTGCCTTATTTGCTCATGATATTAGAGATGAGACGCAGTGGAGTAAATACATGCCTTGAATGCCTGTAAATCCTTGATACAGTTGGTGAGCATACCCAGAGTTTTTAAGCAAGCAAAAGAGATTGCTCACATTCATGCAATACTTAGTTTGTAAGCCAACAACGACAGATGCTATGATACAGCTGAGATGTAAAATGATTTAGGAAATCACTCAAACTTCATTTTGTTTAGGTCAAGACAAAAAAAGGAACAGGGTTTTTCCAGATTCTTTAATCATGTCTGGATATTAGGTCTCGCTATAACTGGCTACGTGTTTGTATAGTAGTGAAATTTCCCCATCTCAGGAATGGAATGTGCACTCTCTTCCTGGAGAAACACAAACCTAATCCTGTTTACCTAATCTGGAGAATATTAGACACGGGTTCACGAGATAGATAAGGTTTGGGGATCCAGAGCGTGTGTCAGGGTACTGTTGAAGTTTAACTAGCTAAATTGACATAGTTTGCACTGTCTGGTTAGCTTCCTGTTGCCTGTCAAGTTTGGACTTCCCTACCTGTTCAGGTTTTGGCTTGCAGGGTTAACAAGAGAGAGCCAAGTGGGAAGAATCCTAACTCCCAATCTGCCCTTCCAAGTTCTACCAATGAGCCAGACTGGCTGATTTGCTATCAGCAATGCCTTGGAGTACCTCACCCCTGCCTAACTTAGGAACTGTTCCACCGAGACCATGGAGGGTCGATTCGATTCCTCTCCTGACCTTCTGTCCAGATTAGCTACCCAACATAAACCAGGAACTGAAGCTTGGACTTTCCTGATCTGGCTCATAGTTATTGCCTAGATTGATTTTAGCTACTTTGTAGGAATGGGAGCACTCTTATTTAATAATAATAATAATAATATTTCCCAGAGAATGAAAGATGTGTTGACTATGATTACATATGTTACAAATATTTATTCCCTCACTTTGTTCTTAGTTCAAGGCAGCTACAACTCAGCACAGAGAGTCGCACCTCTGAACTCATGAATCAGACAAAACTAAGATCGTTCGAGGCTGAGCGTGCTCAGTTGTTACAAGAGGAAACGGCCAAGAATCTGAAGCTGTGTCAGATAGAGTGTGATAAATACCAGAAGAAACTAGAGGTATAATGATTTTCTATTCCTTTTATAAAATCTAGATCTTCAGTATTAATAATATTTTAAACTTATTTCACTGATTAATTAACATTCATATTTAGTTTTCAAATTTTCAATCTTACAAGCAAACAAAGTGTAATTTATCCTGGCAAGTTTTAAAAAGTATTGCTTGTTCCAGCTCCAATTATTTCAGAAAATACTAGAGCCGCTAATAAGGAAACAAAAAACAAGTAATATGGCAGAGCAGGTTGTTACATTTTAAAAGTCGTTGTAAGATGGATGGTAATACTGTAATGGATATTAGACATCTGACTTTTAGAAAACATTTGATGAAGTTCCCAACAAGACTTGTCGGTATCTTCAATTCCATCACTAACTATGTTATTTACTCTTTAAAACACAGTGGAGCCTTATTTTAATCTGATTGTTAAAGTCCAACCCATCTGATAAGAGGCCATGATAGCCAGTTTCACTGCATATCCTCGCAGCCAGCTGGCTCAATTTCTTTACACCTTTTAACCTACACAAGAAAATAGTCATTGGGTGTGTTACCGCCCCTGACATTCCTTATGTGTTGTGCATGCCTGGAAGTACCCCTTGAGGGAGAGTAGGTGACAACAACAAGAACTTACAGTTATATAGTGCCCTTCATGGCGAACAGCGTCTCAGAGCGCTTCTGTGCTCCATGTGCACATAATTCTATGTTGGAATTTAAAAAATTGTTATTGTCCTAACAGGTCTTAACAAAAGAATTTTACAGCCTGCAATCATCAACAGAGAAGCGTGTCATTGAACTTCAAGCTCAAAACTCTGAACTTAAAGCGCGCCTGGAGTCCTATGACAAACTGGAACAGGAGCTAGATGGTGTTATAATGCAAGCTGCTGAAGGTAAGTCAATTGTATTATTTTGTAGTTAGGCTCATTATTGTTCTGATTGTTTGTTTTAACAAGATTTGGCAGTTTATATCATTTGGGAAATTATTTTTAGGTGGCACTCGATATGTAATATAGGTTTAGACAATCCAGTTTATTCTGATACTGAATCCTTTATTTGGTACACATGAATATCATGAAGCGATCGATTCCTTGGAAGAAAATATATGCTCCATACTTTGATACTGATTCTTATTCAAGACCAAGGCTCCCCTGGTTGGTTTCCGTCAGCGCCTCCTCACCTCAGGCGCTGACAGTATCACCATCCATGGTTGCACACTCCACCTTACTAAGCGAGTCCAGAACCTTGGGGTCTTGTTTGACTCTCAACTATTCTTTCTAACCCACATCCGTGACATGACCCATTCTGCCTTCCCCCACCTCCGCAACATCGCCCGGCTCCACCACTGTCTCACACTGCAGGTCATCATACATGTATTCATAGCTGAGCCCATTCCTGTTCTCAACTGAAGTGCAGATTTATTTGCAGGAGTGGGAGTTCTGGACAATCTCTTTGTTCCCCCTTTCTTCCTGACATTGAAGTCAATATTTCATATAAAAAGAGATTTTGTGAAACGGACTACAAACTATGTAATATTGTAATACAGTTGCACAACAAAATTGATTGACAAATTCCCCAATAATGTTCCACCTATCATTCTCAATTTATGTACTGATGCCCTTATATAATGAGTAAATTTGCATTTATTTAATCTTTGAACACAAACAGTTTATATATTTAATATACATTGCATACCAAGTCCTACCCAAAAATTGTTTCCCAAATGATATATCTATTATTAGCCAATTGTATACGTAGCCACAAAGCGTTTTTTTTTCAAAGATTTGCTAGATTTAGATTAATTTTAGTTTTTCTGTTCACAGTGGAAAATGAGGATGATGCAGAGCGAGTTCTTTTTTCTTATGGCTATGGTGCAAATGTTCCCACAACATCTAAACGGCGCCTAAAGCAAAGGTACAAACTTGAGACTACAGCTCTTTATTAATATAACATTATTCTCAGTGCTTTGTGAAAATAGTGCATTAAAAACAGAGGTGTATTTGAACTCCAGATGTGATGTGTAGTAGCACAGTAACATGAGGCTTTTAACTATTTTAGAAACGCAGTCAAGAGCAATGTGGCTTCATTCTCACCAGTATACCAATGTTTAAATAATATATACAAATAATATATACAATATAATATACTTTCAAAAGGAGAATATCATAAGATTCCAATGTCTTTAAACATCCTTGTTAGCTGAGCTCACTAATATAAAACATTATTGCACCATAGAATCAGAATTGCATAGGGTTTGTGTGTCATGTGGCTCCTGTGAGTGCTCAGGTGGCAGGATGTGTTTGTACGATAATCTGTTGTAGAGCCTCCCACAGAATCCTTTTGTTTTAGGTTCAATCAATACTCTTTTTTTCCCACATGTTTAAACAGAGATGTGCTCAGATTGTTCAGGTTTCCTTGAGTTGGAGATCACAAGTTATCCCATACAATTCAATTTATATGGTATTTACTTACAATGTGCACAATAAGGTGTTACATTAGAATTATCAAAGAATTATATAGCACAGAAGGAGGCCATTTGGCCCATTGTGTCACATATTTAGGTAATTCCACTGGTTGACAGATGGGATCTTTCTATTGGTAGAACTTCAGCCAAGCTGGAAGTGTTGCAATAGCCTTGTAAGAAGAGAGTTCATATTTCCTAATATTTTCTAACCTCAACGTGCAACAACAACAAAATTTCATTTATAAAGTGTCTTTCACGTCGGCAATCCATGATTTACTTTTTGATTGACAAATAGCTGCATGGTCCAAATGTAGTTGTGGGACTGTTTGCCCCATAGTGAGGAGATGCACAGCAAGCAGTGACAATCTGAGTTTGTGATGTTGACAGCAGGCCACGTCCTTTGGCCTACTGTCAACATCACAAACAAACTAAATATTTATTTTGAAGAGTTGGATTAAGAATTTTCTTAATTCAAGTTTTCAACAGAAATTTTTTTATTTTGGACGTGTTACAATATTCCGATTGATTGTATGCTTATGAAAAGAAAGTGATGTTTTGTTCACTGAAGGCCATTAATTTAATGTTGAGAAACATGTCTATCACTGAAAAAATATATCCATTAATCTTAGCTTTTAGGCACTTGTTTTCCAAGCTGAAAACACAAACGTTTTCAGTGTTTTTGTAGCGCAATCGGCTGCATTCAATACGATTGTTTAGCATCTCAATGAACAGACATGTCAAACATTTAAACAGAGGTAGTTCTTCATTCTATAATTAGTCTTTCTCAAACATTTTTGAGATTCCATTCTTATCCTCCAGTTCTGCTCTGAGGCACAAGTTTAATGCAATCTTTGGAGACATGCAGACAGTCAAAACACTATTACAAAGAATTCAGTAAAAGTAAAACAACTATGATGATGAATTTAGACATCATCTAGATGAGCCAGGTTGGCTTTGAAGACTTTACACTGAAATTATATCTTTTGGTTTATTTGTTAATTATTACTTTATGGCTACCAAAGGTTTTGCAGGAGAAGATTTGAAATCGACTTGGAATTTTCACAGTTTTATATTTGCGAGATACATGACACCTTTTCCAAGAATCTTTGTAGTAAAATAATCTGCATTAATTAAAATCAAACAGCAAATCCTTTTGATCCCTTTGATCCTTTTGTATTTATGAAAATGGAGCTGGGATTTGTAGTACGATCAAAAAAGGATAAAAACAATTTGGTAAAACCAACATGTATTTCAAAGGCATTCTATGTCATTTTTTGCAGCCAAGGTATGACAACTATATTGATAAGTTGGCTATTATCACACTTATACTAAAGAATTACATTGGTTCATTGGGGTTTCCATGTAAAAGTAATCAACACTGTCAAGCACAACTTCAGTTTGGGCGCTGGGAGCTTGTTTCAGAGGACATAGACTTGCATTGGATTTGCTTTGTTTTGGCTTCACTATCTGGTTGCAACCAATCCAAAGCCAACACTTAAGTTTAAAATTGTTTAAATTTAAATGCTTTTAATGTTCTTGTGTTGCTGGTTCCATGCCCAGTTCTTTATAATACCTTTTAATAATTAACTGCTGTATGATGCCTGTTAGCACAACTCTACAATTGGATTTAGCTGCATATACCCCGAATATCTTGAAACCGGTAAATGTGGGGCAAAGCTGTAGTTTAACTGCGAAATGCGCAGGCAATTATAAATGACTATTATTTTAAAAAGTATACCCAAATCTCAGCCGTGTCCATACTGGTTTGCCATATTGAGCTTTATTTCATGGAGGAGGGAGTTGAGATAAGGAAATGATGACTTTCAAATCTATTTCCTTATGGAATTTAACCCCTGGTGCTGAATGCCTGGCTGCTGATTTTGATTTGTAATGCTGCATATTACTTCAGATGATTGGTAAGAGCAAAGGAATTTCCCAGCTTTTCCAAACATGAAGCAAATGTCCTAACCAACTAACAACATGACATAAGGCCTTTAAGCATCTTTCCTTTCAACAAATATCTGACCATCTGTTACTATGTTATATATAGATTACTCTGAACAGTGTAACATGCTTAGTTCACTTAAGGTTACTTATTTAGTAATAGATTAAGAATTTTACATATCAAAATCCTAAATAAATTCCTCCCTAAATATCTTTTGCTATGCGTGCATGTTGCACACTTCTCAGTCTGTATGTAAAGTACATATTCTCTTTTGGTCAGCTGGATGTCTAACATATGCAGAAAGCCATCACACTTAAGTGTATCCAAACCAGACAGAGTTCCACGTACATGAAAATTTCCATGTCTGAAAAGAAATGCACACTCTCTCCAGGCGGATAAACCTACTCATTATGGAGAGTATTAGGTTCAGGTTGATAGGAACTAAAGCTTGGAGATCTCAGAGTATGTGCCAGGGTACTACTGCTGGACTTTAACCAGCTAAAACCGCATAACTTGCCATTGAGGGTACTCTCTGTTAAGCTTCCTGCTGCTTGTAGAGCTAAAACCTCCCTACCCATTAGAACTTTGACTTGAGTGGAGTCCTGTAGCTCAGTGGTTAGAGCACTCGCTTTGCAAGCGAGAGACCTGAGTTCAATTCCAGGCAGGTCAGGGCGAAACATTGGGCAAGTTTCCTTACTCCACACGCCTAATAATGTCATTTTCAATCTACGACTGTTTGTGGGACATTGCTGTGCGCAATTGGCTGCCGCGTTCGCCCACAAAAAATATACAGTCAATTCACTTTACAGTGTGTTCTGTGAAGCGCTTTGGGACGTCCTCCCGACGTGAAAAGCGCTATATCAAATGCAAGGATTATTATTATTATTATTATTATTATTGCAGGGTTAACAGGAGCTGACTGCGAGCAATCCATGCGCCCAGTGACTGGTCCCTGCAAGTCCAGCAGGCAAGCCAGGCTGGTGGGTTTGTTATCAGCAGCCCTTGAAGTACTGCAGACCCACCTGGCTAAGGACCTGGACTACTGTGGTCCTTGTTACTGATACACGTACATCAATTGTTAAATGAATATGTTGGATAAGTTGCCTGTTGAAATATCATTTATACACAAAGGCCTTGATATTTTTAAGGTTTGATTTTAATGGAATTTAGCCTTTATCTCCTCAATTAACATAACAAATGGTTCAACAAGCAAACTTTTCAGGTTGTTGAGAGGAGAAGAATGTTGATTGATTAGGAATATTAAAGAAGATGTTGATTGATTGGAAATATTAAACACTTGGATTCCTTTTTTCGAGATATTTTGTGTCCTCAAATTTTCATACGACCTGGTGTGACATGAAACCAGCATCCACTGATTCTTTACGATTTGCACGCTGTATTTTGTTCACATCATTTATAGTACCTCATCAGACTACCGAGCAGATTTTGATTTGATTCTAACTTACTTGTCTATACCTTAGTTTAATTTGACCTCATGTGAAATCTAACTAAACAGAAATGATTTGAATCTTTAATTTATATTCTGATGATTTGAGTCGAAATATGAATAATTTTAGAAGCCATTTTACAAGTAGAAAATATATAATTACAGAACAGTTTGGCACACTACATATTTATGTGGACAAAGATACAAAAGACCTTTAGTACTTCAACTACAATCACTTCTTCTCTTACAGCGTTCATCTTGCAAGACGGTTGTTGCAATTAGAAAAGCAAAATTCATTGCTTCGAAAAGACTTAGAATGTTACAAGCACCGTGTAGATGAATTGAACCAAGAGGTAAGCGTGTGTTTTGATTTCTTCTGAATTCTGAGTGTACTCATCCATACTTTCGTCAACTCACGACTTGACTTTACAAATGCCCTCTTTTCCGGTCTCCCCAGCTCCACCATGCACAGGATCCAGTTGATCAAAACTACATTGCCTGCATACTTACCCGCACTAAATTCCGTACCCCCATCACACCAGTTCTAGCCAGGCCCCACTGCCTCCTTATTGCCAAACGAATCGATTTCAAGTTCCTCACACTCGTTTTCAAATCCCTTCATGCCCTGGCACCTCCCTAGCTCTCCAACCTGCTTATGGCCCATCCCATTGCCCGATGCCTCCGCTCGACTGGCTCCAGCCTTCTGCATGTTCCCCCATGCCCTCCGCACCACCATCGGTGACTTCGCTTTCAGCCACCATAACCCGAAACTCTGGAATACTCTTCCTCTTTCCCACCGCCATGTCCCTTCCCCATCTTCAGGTTATGCTTGAAGGCTTTCCTCTTCGATCGTGCCTATGGTCATCTTCCCCTCCACCCGGTTTAGCGTCATGCAAACGCCAAGCACTCTGGGACGCTACCCTACATGAGGAGTGCTATATAAATATAAGTTGTTGTTTATTTTGATTCCTTGCCCCAAGCCTTTGCAGAAGGGTGGGAAGGACTACTGCTTATGTTGCTCTTTGATAAATCAACATCAGATTAAAATGGTCAAACGGCCATCTTGACTTTTTTGGTATTCTTGCCACTGCAGCTGCTTTCAACATCACATTTTTAGCTATAGAATTATTTTTAAGTTGCTATCTGACCTATTTTAAAGTTTCCTGTTCCTTGTTTTCTAATTCTTGATAGAGTACTATAAATAATAATTAAAATAATAATTTGGTCACTCAATCCACCACTGTTTGTGGGACACTGCTGTGCACAATTGACTGCTGCATTTCGCCCACAAATGTACAGTCAATTCACTTTACAGTATATTCTGTGAAGCGCTTTGAGACGTCTAGAAGACGTGAAAAGTGCCATATCAAATGCAAGGATTATTATTATTAAGGATTATTATTACTTTCATCTGGGTTTTTATAAGATAAGATGGATGAAATCTTTTGGGGAAATTGGATGGGTAATCTTGATGGACTAATCATCTACTCTTACCTGAAAATGTTATTCTCACTAATGCTTCACACTTTGATGACTTTCGCAACTCACAATTATCAATTTTGTGAATATTGCAATTTAGACTGCTTTCAATATTCACAAATGGAAGAAGCAGTTAGCTCTTCGAACCTCATTTACAAACATTGCAACTTGGACACCAATATATGTGTCTTTAATAAAAACTTAAAATTCTTAGGCTGTCTTGCCAATGTGATTATACTAGCATTTTCAAGGTCATGTTAATGCACACAAGGAAGAATGTTTAGAACATCTAGCATTCCTAAATGTTTTACACCACTTCTGTATATCAAGTCAAGTGTGAAGATGTATTCATCAGATAATTAACTTCCAGTATAGTACAAACATAGGTCATTGTAGGAAGTCTTTTTGTTTTTTTGCCTTTTGAGAATTGGTTGGACTGGTTCAACTGCTTCCAGATTTACCTCCTCAGAGTTAAATCTCCATTTCCAGTGTATAAAGATTCTTTGAGAACAAACGAGAGAAAAACGTTTAACAAGAGATCACTTGTTCAGAGAAATTCCAGTGAATTCTGCCAGACGCCTGAGCAAGAACATATATTTCCCACTGATGGTTATGATAATATAATAATAATTAATGCATTTAATATAGCGCTTTCATTTCAGGAGGATGTCTCAAAGTGCGTAAAGTAGTGATTGTGAACTTCGTAGGAGAACTGTAGAAGCACATTCAGATTTGCAGTTCATGAAGACCTATTTGACTTGTGCTAGGTTGTTGTATGGAACAATCCTGAGACAAACAAGTTGCTTTTCTCAATGTAGTTATAAGGGAGGGGGCGAGGCGGAGGGACTGCGGGATGAGTTCCAGAGGGTGGGGGCAGAGTGCAGAAGGCCCACCTGCCGTAGAGGGGAGCAAGACCATGGAGTGCTTTGAAAGTGAGGACCAGGATCTTGAACTGTATCCTCTGTGATGTTTTTCAAGAAGTGAAAAGCAACCTATTTTGAGTAACATAAATTGCAACATCAAAAATTCTACATTAGTTGCTGAATAAGACATATGGGACACTATTCATTCCCACATGGTAGTACACAGAATAGGAACAACTCCAATAAACTGCATTCTGCAGAAAACTGGAAACACTATTTGCTGTTTTTGGCCGGAGAGAACATTATTCAAGTAAGATCGTGTTTGAGATTATTTTAACTGGCAATGTGCCCTCGTATGTCAATGTTTTTACATGACAACATGGTATCTAAGAAACAGAATTTGGCAGGTGTATAATTGGCAATACAAGATCCTTTTTTATCTTGGATATTTCTGGGTGTCTAGAAACAAAAATATTGTTGTTGGCCAACTTATCAACTGAATGATCTTTTATCACCCGTACAAACAAAACCTTTTCCTCCCTCATTCATATCATGTCATTGAAATTTTATCTAAAACATGACGAAAAATACAGAAAGTTCCAAAATCATTTCGTTTAAAAAAAATTGTGTGCATATGAAAAGATTTTATTACTTGAAAAGAAAACTCGAGATGAAAAAATCAGTTTGAGGGGGGAGTATTTTAAAGCCTTTCTTTATTTTACAGCTTTCTTAATCTGATCTGAGTGCCCGCATTTCAAAACAAAATCATAAACATTCCAATTTTGGAACTTATCACAACACTCACTTATTTGTCAATATCTAATAATTGATATTTTCCTTGATGGCAGAATGTTTTTACAACAATGTAGTTATCTGTTTTTTTTAAACATCAGGTTTAAGAACATACGTTTTTTTTGGCGAGAAACACACCTACTGCACTCACCAATCAAATACAGTTTGACGTGCTGAAAAACAAAACTCACTATTCTCTTCAAAAACGACAACAAGATTTTCCATGTATCTTGTGCCTTTTAAGATGGAAGGATGTCTCAAAGCTCTTCAGCTAAGTGGGAACTCACGTGGGAGGGAGTGAGAGAGGAAATGTGGCTAAAGTGCAGTCAAAAAGATAGGTCTTGAAGGCAGAGGTCCCACAAACAGTTGTGGATTGAGTGATCAAATTATTAGTATGTATATTTTTTTGGAGGGATAATTACTCCTGGAAAAGCAATTCGCCAATTGACTAACCTATTTATTGTTAGGTGAACTGAGATGTGTGGAGTAAGTAACAGTTCTATACGCATACTGACCTGGACCAAACTCCGTACTCGCATCTCACCGCCGATGTTCTATCAGCTTGTCTGGCAGACATCAAAGCTTGGATGAGTGTAAACTTCCTGCAGCTGAATATGGACATAACGGAAGCCATACTCCTTGGCTCCCGTAAACATCTCCTGCGGATCTAAACTCCTCAACTTCCCTGGGCTCTCCCTTAGACTCACCGAATGAGTGCACAACCTAATCATTTGGTTTGACCCCCAACTGTCCTTCCTCCCCCACATCCGGTCCCTGACCAGGATCGCCTTCTTCCACCTCCGCCACATTGCCCACCTCTGACTGTACCTTACTCCAAATGCAACCAAAATCGTTGTGCATCCATTTGTCACCTCCCGCCTGTATTACTCCAACGCACTCCTCACTGATCTCCCCAGCTCCACCATTCACAAGATCCAACTCATTCTGCCACCCGCATACTGACCCGGACCAAACTCCGTCCCCACATCTCACCAATTCTGGCCAGGCTCCACTGGCTCCCCATCACCAAACAGATCAACTTCAAGATCCTCACTCTTGTATTTAAATCCATTCACTCCCTGGGACATCCCTACCTCTCCAACCTCCTCACTCCCCAATCTCCGCTCCGCTGGTTCCGGCCTCCTGCTCGTCCCTCACATCCTCCACCCCACCATCGGAGGTCGTGATTTCAGCCACTACCCCCCAGAACTCTGAGCTGACGTTCCCATTCCTAATAACTATTTGGTGACTCCTGCTTGAAAGTGAATGTCAATATCCTTGGTAAGAATAGGATCAGGCATGATTAGTAGTGCCTTTCCCCTTTAATCAAAAGTGTACTGGTACACTGTGTGCAGGCAGAAAGCTGCAGATCGGCTAGTTAGGCAAAGTACCACAGGGCAGTCAGCACACATTGAGCAATAACCCACTGTAAATCACTGCCTAAAGATAATTTTTGAAAGCAGAAACTAACAAAATGCAGCTGATGAGAAAAAGGAAATACTGTAATTACTTCCATCTTTTCCAAGTTTGCCTTTTATTTTTTCTTGGTTTATGCTAGTCTTTGTGTTAATTGCTTAGTTTTAGAAAATGAGAACATCAATTATTTTTATTAATGAACATTTTTATCAAAAAGCTTGTTCTCCATTATTTTGAGCTTTCCTAGAATGAGTTTAAATCATTGTGTTGATAAAAAATAATTTTATGTAACATAAATTAACATTCACAAAAAAGTCTAAATGACGAAAAGCCACAAACCATTTTGAAAACTATTCAGGTTCTTCAAGTTCGCCTAAATGGTCATTAAAGAATAATAGTCTATGCATCAAATGCAAGGAGTATTATTATTTGCCTTTCACATTGGGAAGACATAACAAGCCTTGCATTTGGTATCGCCCCTTTCACGTCGAGAGGTTGTCCCAAAACTCATCACAGAAATGGAGTGTCTGTCGATTTTGTCGGTAATGGCAATAGCCCAACTTATGCATAACATTGTCCCACAAACAGCCATGAAACAAATGCCCAATTTTATTTTGTGGGATTGCGGTTGGAAGTTCAAGACCCACATTGGGTCATGAACCGGGAGAAGCTCCCTTTCCGAAAAATTCCATGACATCACCTAAACAGGCAGATGGGACTTCGGTTCAGTGTCTCATCTGAAGGATGGCAGATCTGACAATGCTTTGGGGTATCATTTTAGACTATGATTTCATGTCACAATG